CTATGCAACATGATGTGCATGCTCTCAGATTTCTTATTGTACTAACACATCTTTTTTGCTGAAAAACCGGTGACGACCAAAATGGTCTCCTCTACGTTTACATAAATACATTTGCAGTTATTCATTGTGAACTGAACCAGAAATTAGTCATATTCGAACCAGGCTCTTGGAAAAACGTATTAGTCTGCTCTGAATAATTGGTTAGATTTCATTACTAAGAGCTTGTAATGTTTAGTCAGGGTTGTAACCACTAAGCAGCCAGAGTAATCCCTCATCTCCACCCTTGTCCTCTTTTACCCTTTCCTTTCACTCACTCAGTCAAGCTTTCCAACTCCCTCCGTTTTAAAACACTGTATTTACTGAATTGACTTGTTGAGAGTTCAGCTGACAAACTGACTGTCTCTGTTTCTAATGCCTGTTAGTTGAATCTTTTTTATAACACCCCAGACTAAAAAGAACACAGGTCACGTCATAGTTTTAAATGATGAATTATAATCTGCTGATGACAATGAGCTAAAACACAGCTGAAATGAACCATATTCCAAAAACAAAAGAATCGCTGTTTCTCTTTTTACAGGTTTTATACTATGTCACAGATCCACATGTAAGTTTTTTTTGAACCCAGGACTTAGAGGGTTAACTTTTTTTTACTACTGAGGACAGCAGCTACCCGTGGCTCTCACAGCCTTATTGGTCAGATCTCAAGCTCCTGATGTGCTGACTGGCTGCTGGCAGTAGTTAAATCCCTCCCTGTATTGTATTTGTGTTATGGATACGTGAGCTAAGCTGTGCATGACTTCTTGGCTCATATGGTACACTTTGAAACCCTACCGTACATTTGCATCCTCTTCCCTTGTCATCTGTGCTACGACACTATAGGGATTGTGAAATGCTTTCACTCTGTCGCTTATGGTCTCCCCTATCTCATGAACCCCATACCCTTCCTCCCTTAAACAGAAGTTCTGTTTTCACAAGTTGTTTTCTCTTCACCCCCGTCCCTCCCTCCCTCCCTGCCTCTCCTGCTGAAAATGACTCCCAGTCTATTTTTACTCTTTGGTCCTCTCCACTCTTCGCCTGTTCCACCCATTTTTTCTCTCTTTCTAACCACCCCTACTCTCCTGTTTTCATTTCTTCTCTCCATTTCTCTCTACTTGTCCCTATGAGTGTTGCATCAGAACATTTAAAATTCTGCCTGGAGGAGGCACATTTGCATGATGGAGAGATGGAAATTTGTTTGGGGATTTGAAAGGGCTTTTAATGGTGGAAAATTACATCACTGGTCCCCCTACTGTTTGCTGGGTTTCTGGAAGCAGAGGTATAGCATCACCAGAGAAAAAGCTTAAAATTCCTCTCTTAAGTTAATATGGAGGATTTCTAAAACAGTGACAATGTCTGTCTGCAACTGACAACTTTGTTAAAACATAAGAAAATCAGGCAGAATGATCCTGCATACTCATGTAGGTTTAATGGGAGGGGCAATGCATTGCCATATTTACCCTAAAGCCTTCATCGACGTTCACCCCCAGTGCAGATTACACAGAGAGAGCAAAAGCAGCGTGGCAGGTAAACAGTAGATAGCACACTAACGCCTCCGTGCATGGATGGTCTTTATGGGCATTACAGCTAGATCCGCAAATTTGTATGTGAGAGGGATCTTGTTAAAGTTCTGTTAAGCCATTGGTTGGCCTACATCTGAGTGCCGGCATTTGATTCGCTCCTTCGCACATCAGTTAACGTTTACTACGAATTCTCAACCAATGATGCGGAAGTGAGGCGGGCTTACGAAAAGGAACACAAAAATACGCACTTTTGAGGCGTTGTCTGGACACCAGCGAGGGCACCTTACATGGGTACAACAGAGTGACTTTACGTTGCTCACTTACAGGTATCACACGTGTAAAAGAAGTTCAGATGTCGAGGTGAAAAGAGTTTATGGGTGCAAAGCCGGGTGAAATTTGCATATGACTGGCATTCCAGCGCACACTCCGACCAATCAGGGTTCGCGGCGGGCAGATGACAGGTGGCGGCCTTAGCCAATAGGGGGGCGGTATTCGCCGAGGGGGGCGGGACAAGGCTGGGCGAGGTTGACAGGACGAGAAGAGGAGGGGGACGAGTACGGGGGGGGGGCAAGCAGCCTAGTTTACAACAAGAGGAAGAGGGAGGGAAAGAGAAAGAAAGGGCCAAGGCTTGCGAGAGAGAGAGAGTACGAGACAAAAATAAGGCAGTAAAGTCGGACAGGGAGCTGCGGCGATGCGATACGAGGACTTCTGCGGGCCGAAACAGCTCTCGTAACAGCCAAGTATTAGGCGGACTGGACGGTGTGCGCGCCGATGTCGTCCGCGCGAAGTGGCTAGCTAACCTGCTGCAGACGGACGGACCTCTCAAAACGGCTTCTACCTAATGTCGGTTGTTGTTAAAGCCCCCCTCCCTTCATCCCCACCTCCCAAAAGGGTTCGGGTCCTACAGTCGGGGCATCTTCAACCAGCCACTCGTTTGATGCCTTGAGAGCTGGACCGTAGAAGAAGGAGGAGGAGGAAAAAGAAAAATACAACTGCGATTCATCCCCCTTTTCTCCTCGCTGACTGGTGCCAGGACTCCTCACCGTAGTCGCCTCTATCGCCGTGCTGTAGTCTCATCAGTTGCTAGCTAGCGTTGTGGCCAGATTGGCTAGGTGGGATTGGAGCTGTACAGAGAGCTATCAGCGCTGTCACGTTTTGGTGGCTGTCTCGGTAATCAAAACTGGTGGCTTTTAAGTAGAGGGTGATGGATGAATGCACCAGATTTACGGTCAACGACGTCTGCTTATGCGTAGTAAACAGGGATAAACCCAAGTTGCTCGTCTAGGTGAGCTTGGATTTAGGTGATAGCTTAAATCGCCAGGTTAAAAACAGGTGCATATCGCTGTTCCGGGGACGAGTAATGGGAGAAGCAAGTTAGTGTTTTTGAGTAACTCACTTGTCAAACAGTCCCCGTCGGATTAGTTTGGCGGTCGGTGCGTGTGAATACACCTTTTGTAGTTGAGACATGAGAACAATTGCGTTTCTTTTGCCCGTGTCTGTGCGGCGGGTGCACGACCAGGGGCGTTCCCGAGAGGATGGTTCAATTTGGAGCGGTGCACTTGAGGCTCCGGCTATTGCAAGAGGCAGTTAAATTTACGTTGTCTCGGTTTCTCAAATGAATCAGCAAGTATTAAAAGTCGGTGTTTAAGTAAACAGTGAACACGTGGAGAATAGACAGATTCGACCGAGGCAAAAAAAAAAAATATATAAAAACGAATCGCCTCAGCTTTGATCACCCCAATTTTGCTTGTTGCAGCGTTGTTTGTCTGATCGATAGAGTGCTCTCTTACATCAGCCCTTGAGCTGTGTGAGTTCGTGGTTTTATGTGTTTCTCAATACCCGCCGAACCCACCTGCCTGCAGTTGTGTTGTAGTGCAGAGCACGGTTTGACATGGCTCAGAAGGACTGCGTAGTTTCCGGGCGGATGTTTTAACCCAGGCCGTGGATGGGTTAGAGGCCTTGTTAACCCCTTCATGGCCGAGCTGCTGTAGTAATGTAAACAAACAGGAGAGAGGGCATCGGGGGTAATTAGACCAAAGGGAGAAGGAACGCTGCCTTCGATCATAATCATCTTTTCAGTGGGTCGTCTTTACACTGTTGTATTCTTGCAAATGCAACTTTCATCTAGTTTCTTATTGTAATTGTTTATAGTACATTTTGTCCACTGATGTTTGATTGTTCTTGGTGCGTTATCAGATCGCGGCATTCGGCCATACACAGAGATCGACTGTACTCTCGTATTTGTAATTGCTGAAAGGATAAATCTCTATGCCACACTTAAGATCATGCCGGGGGATGATGCAGTAATTGTTGTGAATAATGACTGCAACCTGTAGGGATGAAACGGATACAGACACCATTGAACACTTGTCGTCATCTGTGAGCTTCCAAGGAATATCAGCTCGTGTTTTTTTGGATTAAGGATGATCCTTTACCAGTATTTATGTATGTCATAGAAGACAGTTTTTAAAAGGACATATCATCATTCATTTTTTTATTTTTTGAAGAAACAGCCAGGATTTCATTCAACCATGTTCTCATCAGAGAATCCTCAGTATCTTCGCCAAGGATTAAGCATGTTTGGTTAGTCCATGTCACTTACCTTTCTGTTTGTATGACAGTACAGTAGCCTTTTTTTGGCCAAATGTGTGTATGTACAGGAGTATTTTATTGTTGTTTAGTTGTGTTATAATGCAATCCATGGTGCTATTTACTAATTTAATAATTCTTTAAAAGGAGATGGATGTGCTACTTCCAGTTTTTTGTGGCGATGCATATTGAGTTGCTTTCATTCATGGAGATGAAGATAGTAAGAGTTATATGGTCTTTGATTCAGTTATGTTGCTTCAGGGTGTAATCGCTTCTGTTCTCCATCCAGCCTGTTCTTGAGAACAGAGAGTCCTTTTGTTTATCTGCTGTTGTTGGAGTGATTTCACCAGCAAGTGGATTGAGATGTGCTTCAGTGGCAGCATAGATATTCTTAGTAGTTCTGTAAGGACTGTTTTTTTTGTTGTTTTTTTTAATTGTTTTGTTTTGTTTTTTGCCAGGTAATTAACTGTCTTCAGCCACTATCCCAGATGTTAGCCAATTCCTGGTTAGATGGCAAAAATTACAGCTAGTAGTGCTCTGTGTCCAAAGGAACTATTACTTTAGGCTGTGTCGGATTTTAGTTGTGTTATGTTTACATCCAAAATAAAAGGTTTTTAAAAATGGATGGGTAATCCTATTGTAACCTAATGCTATGATGATAGTTTGACACAGGAGTAAGAAAGAATCCTTGGTATGAGAGTTACACTGACAGCTGTGGTAAGAAACCAGTACCTCGATAAACTAAATGTAAAAAGCTTGTGTCTTTAGAGGCTGATTTCTGAGCTGGGCAGCATATTATTAAGTCATAGAGATCAGATTATGTTAATAAGTCTTAACTCTTTTCCTCTGCAGTGTGGACCAATGTAGAGCCCAGGTCCGTTCCAGTCTTCCCTTGGCATTCATTGGTTCCTTTTCTAGCACCTACCCAATCAGATGCTTCTTCTCAGCCGGGAGAGGGCCAACACCCAGTCAACCATCCCCAAGCAGCCAGTCTAAAGACAGGTAGAGTATACGTTTGCTGTTGACCTAATAGCAATTGGAATTGAGCAATCAGCAGTTTCAGGTCATTTTCCGTGGCTGTTAATACTGTTCTGTTTACCATAGTTGTTTATTTTGCTCTGAACTGGTCTTTATCTTCTTGTTGTTTTTCCTCAGAGTGTCAGGGGGTGGCAGCACTGTCGCTGGAGCCTGCAGAAGCACCTCCCACAGCAGAGAGAGGCCCCCCATCACGGCCTCCCCCCTGCTCTGATGAGCCGCCTCCAGAGAAGGAGAAAGGAGATGCAGAAAGGGAGAGGCCTGACAGTGAAACTGAGAGTGATGTGGATGACCCGTAAGAGTGCTGTTCTTTGTTTGTTTAATTTGACTTTTGTGGGTGAAGCTGTTAGGTTATAGAAACACATAGTGATACATATGGTACATTTGTGCACCCTCACATGTTAGATTTGTCTGTATATTTAAGTGGTTATGTAGTTGTCCAAGTCAGCCTTCACAGTAATTTTCTGTGTGGTGCTGTGTACCCACACATACAGTAAGGGAGTGTGATATTTTCTGTATCCTCGCTCTAATTTGGGCAGAAAAGCTCAATGCCAGAACAAAGCAGATGGGAACAAAAGCATTACATCTCTGGTCTCTATCAGTATATGAAAGGCAGTAGCCAGGCTGTCAGCTATTGTAATGGATGAGCTATGCTGAATCTGCTGATGTATCTCATGGGAGATGAAATACTTGTGCTCTGTGACTATTGCTGATAGACTTGCAGCTCCAAGGTAAATAATACCCAACTTGAAGGACAAACTCGTTCAGTTTTTAAATGTTAAAGAGAGAAAAAGTGCTTATGTATAAGCTTGCATGTGAGTGTGGTTCTCAAGACGAATATCTGGTAAAGGTTTTTTTTGGTCTCTTTTAGCTTCCTCCCAGGGGTTGTACCAGAGCAGCCCCTCTCTACATCACCAGTAAAGAGACGCACTCAGTCCCTCAGTGCACTGCCCAAAGATGGAGACAAGAGCAGCCCAGGAAAGGTAGCTTCTTCACTACTCCCACAACATCACAATTTTAAGTGTTCCTTTAACTTATATATGTAACATACTATATTTCTTTCTTTCTTTTTCACTCTTTTAGAGGGAGAAGGACCACATCCGGCGACCAATGAATGCATTTATGATTTTTAGTAAGCGCCATCGAGCACTGGTGCACCAGCGGCATCCAAACCAGGACAACAGGACAGTCAGCAAGATTCTTGGGGAGTGGTGGTATGCTCTGGGACCCAAAGAGAAACAGAAGTACCATGACTTGGCCTTCCAGGTACACAGACACATTTGCAAACAGAAAAAGAAACAATTAAATAACTAATATGCCACCTGACAGGGCTCCAGACTACGTTTTTCACGGGTAGCACTGGTGCTACCATCAGCTGGTCGGCACATAATTTAGTCACCCACCAAAGAATGACATAAGGCATTCACTGATCGCCTTTTCTCCATGTCAGAATAATTTACTGTTAAACCTTATCAGTGAAGCAACTACTTTGCTCGATGCGTAAATGTTGGCAACTGTCTCTCTGTAGAGACACTCATGTGTTCTACCGCTTTCTGATGTTTGATTTGTAATAATGCTATGAAGAAATAGTCGTATTGAAACAGCTGGAAACTAAACTGCCACTCTGTATGTGACAACTCACCCGTCTGATGTGAAGATAAGTAGACCTAAACATCTGCTGTTAGATACCGGTCCAGACTGGTCCACTTTCCATGCTCTCTCTGGGAGAATTTCTAATTTAAATCATTTAATTAAGTTACAGTTACTGTTGTTCTGAGTGCCAATGTGTGCAACTCTCTCTCTTTAGAGACACACATATGGATCCTGCTGCTGTCTGTTGCTGCAGGTGTTAAACAAACTCTGAGGCAATAGTTCCAAACAATTAGAAGAAACAAACTTCAGCTCCTTGTAACATCTTGTGGGAAAAAAACACTAGGATCACTTTAATTATTTGTGAGTTTTATTATTCTTTTAGCTATTAATATCTGTTTTCATTGCAGAAAGGTTTTATTGTTATGAACATTTCATTTTTTTGCCTAATAGATTTGAAATTGTAAACCAAAGTCTTTGCTTTAGTCAGTGCGTTGTGCTTTGAGCACACAGACTGTGTATTAAGCATCTCTGTGATGTTTTCAGACAAATATTGTTGCTGAAATGTGTATTGTGTGTCTGTCTGTTAATGTGACTGTTCAGTTCTGACTTGTGCCATGTTCAAAGTGACATGGAAATGTTTACTAGGTCTGATCTAGGAAGATTCCCTTCATGGACGACTAGGGTGTGCATTCACATGCAGCTGACCCGTTTGGTTGCCATCGGGTCAAAGGAACAGAGTGCATGTCTGAAAGTGGTAGAAATGTGCCAATGAACAACAAAAAATACTGCTTTCAACCACAATAGCTAACACAGTATCTACTAGTGATGGCTGGAGATCATACACTCACACAATTACGAGCAAATAAAATTTTAACTGATACATTCTGGAAAAATGGTCATTTTGGTCGTAGTCTGGAGCCCTGCCTCACAGGTACAACATACTACATATATTAAAGGATACAAACATGATCTTTCTCTTGTTTTCAGGTAAAAGAAGCCCACTTTAAGGCCCACCCAGACTGGAAGTGGTGCAACAAAGACAGGAAGAAGTCCAGCTCTGAAGGTCGTGGGGTCCCAGGAGGCAAAGATATCAGAGAGAGGAGCATGTCTGAATCCACAGGTTGGCCATACTCAGTTCTCACAACATACAATATACACATAAATAGAGTATATGTCATGCCCATTATTCTTATCCTTCCAGGCCTTTAACAGTCCTGTTTTTGCCTCGTGATAGAGCCCCATTCTGTGGAGCTGAAGGGTGTCGGTCCAGGTCTGGTGGGGGTGTCTGAGAGAAATGCTGGAGAGGGTCATGGAGGCCAGCTTACCCGTCCCAGAGCATTCTCTCAAAGTGCCATGCACAGCCTGGAGCGGAGTGACAGGGGTAATACACAAGCCCTGGCAGAACTGGCACAGGTACGAGAGGAGAACAGCACATAGCTGAGAGTTGGTTTTGTCATGTGCAGCTTAGCATGTTGTAAAATGACACTGAAATCAGTAAAAATAAATTGAAGACAGTTGTTTCCAATTAGTGGCATAATCAGTTCTTTCTGTAAATGTGGCTTAAATTAAAAACAAAGCTTTTGGTTTGACATTGTAATCACTGCACCAGGTTTTGTTTGACAGATTTACTTTTCACAAACACTTTTTGGCCATTTTGTAATGTCGTATTATAAAACGGCATCTGTCGCCAATAAAACAAGATAGAACGGTACCACAGTGCTATAGCATATACAAATAAGATGACACCAATGGGAAGCCACACTGTTCCTTTTTGTTTTTTTCAGATGTGTGGGGATGGTGGCAGTCAGTTTTCGAGCCATGCCCCTCCACTGTCACAGTCACAGCGCGGCGTCAGCGAGGACATGACCAGTGATGAGGAGCGCATGGTCATCTGTGAGGAGGAGGGAGATGATGATGTCATCGGTGAGATATCAGCCCCACTTTACTCATTGAGCCACTTTAGATTAGAGATATTAGAGTTAGTATACTGCTTCTTGTGTCACTGACAGACTTTGTAGATTACCAGGAACTGCATGTGGAAATTACATTCAGTGGTACAATAAGATTTCTCAGTTTGGAGTAATGTTTCATGTCAGCAGTGATGCCCTTGTGTCGCCTTTTTACTAGTTTTCGCATAGCCATAACCTCTCTATCAATCTGCTATATGGCAGAAAAATGCTCTGGATTCTATGTGTTTCTTTAAACAAATCCCAGTTATCTTGGGCAGAGCTAATCAAAGGATGAGGCGAGGAACATTTGCATGCAGGGAGGCGAGAACAGTCAATAAAATAGCTCATTCATGAAAAAAACTAGCAGAGCTGCTTAGCTGCACAATCCATATCCTCGGGAAAAATGTAAAATGTTGAGTGTGTTCGGTTGCTTGGCCAGGTTGTTTTCCATAGTGAAGGGGATTTTAAAAATTGTAACATAGCAAAAGGGGAGAAGAAAGCCGTGTGGAATATGTGCTGAGCCAGAATACCTTTTCACAGAAGATTTTTTTTCCAAACAGTCCCAAGTCATTAGTTCTCTCAGCACCTTTTTTCTTCCTTTTCAATATATATAACATTTTTTGCTAAGTTTTGTCCAGAGTTTGACCACTGCTATGTTTTGGGTTTTTAAGATCTGACTGAATTGAGACCCGTTTCAGACACGTTTACCCATTTACATCCACTGTAACAGTATTTACTAGCAGCTGAGTATGAGCAGAACATAACATCCAGCTTTGACTTGTAATTCAGAATCTAGGATATCAGGAAATTCTGACACTCACAATATCTCCCACTTGGTGAAAGCAGCTACGTAAGCGTCAAATCACTGTTGGCTGAACGGCTACTGAATACAGTTTAACTGTACCACGAATGCAAGTAGCCAATTTCTGAGGAGTTTTATTTTGCCTGTTGGTAGCTGCAAAAATAGCACATTTAAGCTGCTTAGCTTGTGTGACAACAAGATTAGAATGAGAGATAACCATCTTGAATATAATATGTGAACAATCCCAAGATGGTTCGTTCTTCCCATTCTGCCAATGTTGTGTAGATGCAGCATTTCTAAACCCTGACTTGAGTGGAGTTGTAGGAACTGTAGTGTATTTTTCTTTTCCACAGAGGACCCTTATCCTAGCAGTTCAATAGACCTCAAGTGTAAGGAGCGGGTGACTGACAGCGATAGTGAGAACGGGTCAGGAGATGAAAGTGACCGGAAGGTAACATAAATTGTCTCTTGTTGATATTTTCACATTTTTATGTACAGTTTGATGAGTAATTTCAAAAGTTGTTGCCTTTTGCAACATCTGTCTGTGATCTTTTTCAGAGAGTTTTTGCTCCAGTCATCTGCTCCTCTGCATCGTCCTCTTCCTCACACCACACTTCTCATGGGAGGAGTGTCTCGCTATCCTCTTACCCCACCAGCAAGCGTTATGATGAGGGGAGGTCAGGAGGGGGAGGGTTTTTGGACCACAAGAGAAAGGAAAGAGGAGAGGGAGAGGGTAAGGACACATTTGGGGGTGACGGAGGTGGAAGTGTACAAGCCCCTTCTCTTTCGCTCTCTTCTGGCCAGTCTGCCATATCCACTTCTTCTGCTGAAGGGCCTCCGACCTCATCAGTAGGTTCACTGGGTGCGAACCCACTCCTGAGCATTGGCGCTGTGAGAGTGGCTTCCACGGTGGTGACCAACGTTATGCGTCCTGTTATCAGCACACCACTCCCCATCGCTAGCAAACCCAAAATTGGAGGTACTTCATCCAGCCCACATCCACCTGAGAGGAAGTCCCTGACTCCCCAGCAGCAGCCACAACTTCTGATTGGCTCAGGCTCCGCAAGTGGGACTGCAGCCACAGGGGGTGGGTACTACTCTTCATCATCACCTAATCCTGTGAGTGCCGGTGTGGGCCCAGGTGGCGTAGTGACTAATTTGGTGTTAGGAGGAACTTTGTCTGCCCAACCTGCTGTACAGCTCATCACTCCCTCCCCTCAGCCTCAGCATTCCCAGCAGCAAGCCCTCTCCTCTACAGCTGTTTCAGCCCCACATAGCCAAACCAATGGGCCCCTACCTCTGCCCCTGCTTCAGCCCCAGTTCCTTCCTGCTTCCTCCCTGGCACCACCTGGGGGTAAGGCCATCACACAAGTTCAGTACATTCTGCCCACCTTACCTGCCAACACCAACCCCAAGAGTCCACCTCAGCAGCTCAGCCAGCCAACCAGTATCTTCAACCTGCCCACAGCTCCACCAACGCATATGTCCTTGGCCAACGGAAAACAGCAGGGTACAAGTTCACTGACAGGATATACGTCCAGCCCAGCAGTGGGAGTGGTCAGCCCGGGAACTAGAGGTAAAAGCTCCGACAGCAATCATGACAGTGTGATATATAGAGCTAATAATCTGTCCTGACTCCCAATAAAATTCCCCCCGTCTCTGTGTTTCTACATCAGTGCAAACACAGTCTCCGGTGCTACAGGGTAAAATGCTTGTTCCCATGGCAACAGTACGGACTGCGCCAGCCCCTGCCCAGCAGTTTCCTATTGTGGCTCCACCTCTTCCTGTCCAGAACGGTGCTCAGTCTGGAAACAAGGTCAGGGAGCCCTTTGCTGATGACATGAGAACTTTTCTAAACTGTAGCAATTTTGTCCGTAACATCGAGTTAAAGCAAATCATTTGCTCACCACTTACACTGCCCCTTCAGAGATTTGTATTTGTTCTCCTCCTTTGTGTATGGCTTTAACTTTTGTGCCCTTTTCAGATTATCCAGATAGCTCCCATGCCTGTGGTCCAGTCCCAGCTGCCTCAGGGTGGAGCAGTGCATCCTGCCAGCCCCTTCCCTGTAACAATGGGTACAGCTGCTGTGGTCGCACCAGGATCAGCCCCCTCCCAGGCTGTACTACTGCCACCAGCGCCTACCAGGTAGGAAATAACAAACTATAGTGAGAGAATGAATACAGATTTGTGGCTGACACTGTCACCTCACAGTTAGAAGGTCCTGGCTTGAATCTCGACCTGGGATCTTTTTGTCCATAGGTGTGAATGTTGGTGTGTTTGGTTGTCTGTCTCTATGTGTAGCCCTGCAGTAGACAGACGACCTGTCCAGGATGTCAGCCGTGTGGTGTATAGATAATGGATGGGTGAAGTCTGCACTGTGTCATCCACTGCTGCATGACTCCAGTTTGATAGCATCTGGCAAGCTACATACATAGACCACAACATGAATACTAAGTTACATAGCAGTTTCAAATAACTCTGGGCTTGTAGAATGTGCTTATGTGGCAAATGTCACCCCGTTGGAACTCCAAAACAAACAAAACCAAGAGTTCTGATGTGTTGAAATCCTAAAAAATATTCTCAATTAAAGGCTTTCCTGTCATTGCATGCTTTGCACCCTTTTCAGATGTTCACTTCACTCAATATACTGTAAATTTAACATGTGTATTATGTTTTTCTGTAAATGTCACACTATCATTCTGCTTAATTAGGACCTATTGGTGAAAAAACATGTCCAAAGTTCAGTACATTCTTATTAGAAAGTAGTGTATGATGGGTTCTGCCTTCTTAAGACAGCTGGGTAATAATTTCCAGAATTTGTATTGCTTTTACACAAAAACATTTCTAAATTGACAATAGTAGTTTCTCTGTATAAAATATGTTAGCTGTTTGTGTTGCTTATACAAGCTCCAGAATACAAACTTTTAATGGAATAATTAGACCTACCATCTCTGGTTTATGCTATGGTTCTTTTGAAGCAACTTTTTTACCCCTAATATACTACTATAGCTTTCAAAATATTAAAAGACAAACCGCTCATGGGACTTCATTCAGAATCTCGAGTAAACATGACTTAACCAACAGTAATTCCCCTGGAATCATTATGGGCTTGAATAAATTAAACAAGCATGCAGAGAGACAGTGTTTACCCCCAAAATAGAGGAGAATGAGTGTTTAAATATCAGTTTATAACATAACGGGTGATAGAAGTTGTTTTTTTTTTCAGCAGTTTTTGAGATAATGAAATACCTTTGCCAAAGGGCCCGATGTTTCCTATTGACACTTTAAATAAGATATCCCAAGTGGGCTCTTACAGTGGTTAATAATGGAATAAAATTAATAATATCAACTTGTGCTGATTACAGTTTAGCAGATCCTGTTAACAAAATGATCTATTGTCTTTTCTTTATAGCCTAGACACGGAGACATCAAGAAGCTGTATTGTTTCTTATGAGAAAGTCCAGATTTCCTGAAGCATAGTGAGGAGACAATGAGAGAAACCAAAATTTCAGTAGGGGTGCAGCTGTAACAGTGCAGCTCTATTCTGGATGTGTTAGTCATGCTACTGGTGGCCCAAGTTGCCTCTGCCTGCCACCCACACACTACCTCTCAGCTACACACACACACTCACACAGACACACACACGCACACACACACACACACAGCACTAGTCATCTAGTTCTACTTGTTGTGATGTACACTCACCAGCTGACCCTCACTGCAGCACTTCTCTTTTTGTCTTCCTCGTTCCTTCTAATCATGTCTCTGTTCCCTAGGTTCTTAGTCTACCTCTTTGTTGCACCACACCATGGTTGTTTCTGTTTGACAGTTTTCCATCGCAGAAATGTTATCTTCCCCTCTGTGGCCTCTCTTTGCCTGGTCCATTTGTATTTTTGTTTCTCACATTTTCTCCTCTAATCTCTTCTCCTGTTTCTGTATCTCCCGTCCAGGATTACCTATGTCCAGTCCACTCCAGGGGTCCCATCCACTCTGCCTCTGGTCTCCACAACAACAGGCTCTTCCTCCTCCCAGCAAGCCCTGCCGGTGCCTGGATCTGCATATGTTCCATCACCCCTAGCAACACTTGGGTTCACAGCTATTGCACCACCTGGACAGACGCTTGTTCAACCACTTATTACAGGTTGGTGCTATGGAAAGATGAATTTATAAATTCTGTATTTTCTACACTAATTGTATGTCTTGTATAGAGCAAGATATGAACTGAAACATTGGCAAATACTGGGGGGTAAACGTGGCCCTCCAACTAATTAATTGTTTAAATCCAAATCTCTCTTTATCAGGGGCCACCGTTGAATAAATGTTGCTCATTCTGTAAATAAATGGTTTGGAATTCTTGTTTGATGGAAAATTCTTGGCATCATACTCGCTTCCTGACTGCAATCACACTCTGAGGACCCACATTTCTAGCAATCGTGACACATAACTAAAGATAAGTGTTGTACTTATGAACACATTTTAGTTGCTTACACTTCACTTGAGTGTTTCCATTTTACGCAACTTTCTACTTCTACTTCTGTGTTGAAGGTGAGGTAGCAGATACAGCTGAAGATGTTGAACATAGCAATCTTACACAAACACGCCTGATTCATCCATTACACTAAAAATGCCCAAGAAGTTTGCTTGTTGATGCCACTGCAACCTGAACCTTTATTGCTCATGGTGCCAGGCTCAGGCTATTACTAAGAGGGGTTGCAGTCAGTGGCTAATGCTATCTGGAGCACCCGTAACATCTTCCAAAAGTAAGAGTAACTTACTTTAGGAAGCCATCTGCTCTAACTGACAGTTGCATCTCTCTTGCAAAGACACCACCCGCAAAAGCTGAACAGCCATTTCCACAAATGAAAGTTGCAAGCAGTGTAGCCATAGCAAGGACTATACTAACATCGATCAGATAGGTTAGGAGACAGCCACTGAAAACCGCAAAACAGTGTCTGGAAAACAATAACACTGTACCAACATCTGTCTTGGCAAAATATGCATATGCATATTTCAAAGCAGGGACAAACCTTAAGTGGTACTTGTAAAAACAAACTTCGCTAATTTGTTGGATTAAGTTGCAAAAGTGATGCAACAGTATAAATGTTTTCTCATGTTACATTATTATGGATTATTACAGTAATATGTGGACTCTTGGCTTCCTGTTTCTTTCATCCAGGTCAGCCACCGCTCCTAGCCACAGCTCAGTCTCCACAGCCCTCCACCTCAGCCCCTGCTTCAGGCTCTGGGGGCCAGATAGTCACAGCCATCTACCCTCCTTCCCCCGGCGTCACCATGGCAACAGGGGTGGTCTCCATGGCAGCAGTACCCCCCAGTGTGGTCTACTCCGTCTCAAGCTCTTCGAGCGCTTCCCCCCACATCCTGCCCAAACACACAACAACCCCCACCACCATCACGCACCTACATGCACAGCCCCATCCAGACAGACAGGCAGACAGGCACCTGCTCCTGGACAGACCCGCGGATCGACACACCGACAGGCAGTCTGAGAGGCAGACAGAACCGATGACACATTCGGACAGACAGCTTGAGAGGCAGACGCAAACCTCCAGCAGTAGCAGCTCAACGGCACCTCCCAGTGGCTCAGCTACATCCTTAAGGCCCTGCAGTCCTTCGCTTCAGATCCAAACACCTGGTACAACTGCACGCACTGTTTAATCCAAGAATACATTTATAAATTTGTCATTTGTAGTGAAATAGTCAACAGATTTATTTTTTTCATCTTTTTCTTTTTTTCTTTTTTTCTTTTTTTTTTTACAGGCAGTACACTAGGTACATCCAAGCTAACCCAGCTTCCAGTCAGGATTCCTCAGAAAGTGAAGGCAACAGTAGCGACCATTCCTGTGGGCAGCTACGATGGAGGAAGCCGAGGGAAAGAAAGGGAGCGGGACAAAGACAGGGAGCGAGAGAGGGAGAGAGAGAGAGAGCGGGAAAAGGAGAGGGAGAGGGAAACTGCAGCCAACAGCCATTTCTCCTTTGATCCTGATGCGACACGGCAGACAGGGTCTCCATCAACACATCCTACTGAGGAGCCTGCATCCTCTGACAGACCCCTGGAGGGCTCCAGTGCTGCAGACTCCTCTGACACAAGGAACTGGGAAAGCACAATTGCCAAAGAGGTGAGGGAAACTTCTACACATATTGACGTTCATCTCTAGCACTACAGAAATAACTACCCAGCTGTAGTCCACATATAGTATCTCTCTTGTATAAAGGCCTTTATTGAACTTTCTGTGCAGGCTGGGTGGAAGGAGTCCCGCCCATCATCTCCTCTCCCCCCTCCATCAGCCACAGAACCCACCCTGCCACCTCCACAGACTGACAAAGATATTCCTACACCAAAAAAGGTCAAAGCTCGCCCACCACCTCTCAAGAAGACGTTTGACTCCGTGGACAAGTGAGGAAATGCCTTTTGTGAATCGTTTGTGCCGAAAGTATAGATGGAGACTGTATATATACTGTATATTGTGTCTGTGTGTGTGTGTTGGACTGGCAGGGTGCTGTCAGAGGTGTATTTTGAGGAACGCTTTGCCGAGCTGCCAGAGTTTCGGCCAGAGGAGGTTTTGCCTTCACCCACCCTGCAGAGTCTGGCCACTTCACCCCGTGCCATTCTGGGCAGCTATCGCCGCAAGAGGAAGAACTCCACAGGTCTGACTTAAAAGAGCATTTAAGGATACACTGACTAAAATGCCTTTAAACTGGTTTTTATGGATAGTTGTGTGCTAGAATTTTCTCCTCGTAATTGTTGTGGATTCATTGTTTCTAGTACTTGTGTGCCATGTTTGTAATTCAACATCAAAATAAAATGAAATCATGGACATTTCATGTAAATCTCTCTTTGTGTAATTGGTTTTAATTTGGTTTTGTTTGTGCTTCTAGACTTGGACTCAGCCACTGACGATCAAGTCTCTCCCAAGAGAAAGAGTCGGCGGCGCTCCAGCTGCAGCTCTGAGCCCAACACGCCTAAAAGTGCTGCCAAGTGTGAGGGAGACATCTTCACCTTTGAAAGAGCAGGTAATGTATGCGGAAAAGCAAGCGGGCATGGAAATTTAGATGCTCTAAAGTTATTTTGTCTCTTAGTGCTGCGCAAATGATACGTAACACTCTGTAGTGTAACACAGGATAAAGGTGGAGGGAGAGCATCTATTAGGGTCTTTGTTTGGCCTGGACGATAAAACAATAGCATTGTGTACCAGCTACAGACACCTAATAAAAAGCAATAAGAAAATTGTTAGATAGCATGTTAGATAGTTTCACTGAAACACGCTAGGTGCATGTCATCATAAAAGGACACACACGACAAAAACGGTCAGTTCCATGAGTTCAGTTACATGAACAAACCCCACACGAGCATTGTATCTTAAGTCTTTTGTCTTCAATGACCTCCTCAAAACGAGACGGTCAATGTCAAGGATTTGGTCCAACAGTTAAATGTATTCTGCCTCCATAGTTGGATTCATTTCAGTTACCCTCATCTCAATGAGGATCATGCATGTTTTCAGAAGTGTTTATTTTAATGAGTCAAAACAATAAGATTTTTGTTTTCTTGTTTTGGAAGATTCCATCCATCCATCCATCCATTATCTATACACTGCTTAATCCTCACTAGGGTCATGAGGGGGCTGGAGCCTATCCCAGCTGACTTAGGGTGAAGGCAGGGGACACCCTGGACAGGTCACCAGTCCACGCAGGGCTACTCCACACAGAAAGATCCCGGGCCTCCTAACTGGGACGTGAACTGGGGATCTTCTAGTTGCGAGGCGACTGTGCTAACCACCGCACCTGTGGAAGATTCAAATACTTAAAAATATAAGGTGCATATTAGGAGCTAAAAAAGGGCTGCAGGGTGGCGCAGTTGGTTAGCACTGTTGCCTCGCAGCAAAAAGGTTGCTGGTTCACGTCCTGGTTGGGGCACCAGAATCTCTCTGCGTGGAGTTTGCATGTTCTCCCCGTGCAGCGTGGGTTCTCTCCGGGTTCTCTGGCTTCCTGCCACACAGTCCAAAAACATGTTGAGGTTAATTGGTGATTCTAAATTGTCCGTAGGTGTGAATGTGAGTGTGCTTGGTTGTCTGTCTCTAAGTGTAGCCCTGTGATAGACTGGTGACCTGTCCAGGGTGTCCCCTGCCTTCACCCTGAGTCAGCTGGGATAGACTCCCGCGACCCTAGTGAGGATTAAGCGGTGTATAGATAATGGATATTAGGAGCTAGAATGTTTTGTCTTGATTTCAAAAATGGTCTACTCGTTAGAAATGCCATGAGATGCAGTTAAAAAAAAAAGCTCCAAAATAAGCTACAAAGCTACTCAAGGTCTACTTGAGTAAAGGTTTACTAACAAAGACTTTTAGGACTAGTTTGAAATTTATACTCTTGTGTCAGACAGAAATCCCTGATGTTGGAGAAATGTTTCACCCACTTCTTCCTGCTTGGTTCCACTTGTCAGGAACATACACTAAAGCCTCTTACACAAATGCACTCCTTTCTGACAATCTAATGGCATCTGAGTGTGTCGGCTTCATGTCTTCATGAGCACCCTGGTCACTTTTCTCTTGCTTAGTCAGACCAGTAACGTTTCCGTATCACTTTGAATGTGGCACAAATCTGAACTTCCTGCCGTCACATTAACAGCTCGGCATGCACAAGCAGCGTACCTCCAGTTGTGCGAAGCAATTTGAGAAGGTTTTCTCCACATTTCAGCATCAGCATTGATCCACAAACACTAAACATCTTTCTTGTTCACATTGCAATAAACATGAACTTTTATCATGAAGACGTCAGAATCTGCAGATCGGATTAATGACACTCACCAATAATGAATGTAATCAATCACAAAACATGAGTAGAAGTTGAAGTTAATTTTGCCTACAGCTGTTTGTAGGAGTTTTTCCTCTGAGAATTAAACACTTGTAGCATCAGACAGTAGCAGGAACCAGGTGAGCGTCTCCAAAGCTAAAGAGTTGCATTTATGCATATGGAACAACAGTAGTAACTTCATTAGTTACTGATTAAGGATAAGCTACCATTAAATCATTTTATACATGGCAGCAATTCTTGATCTACTGTCTAATCTCACAACCATGACAAAAATCACACACTGTTTTCCCGTCTGTCACTGTGGCGGGTATGTTTGAATGAAGCTGTGAGGAACATAACGTAAAAGCGACCTACGTCTGAATCACTTTAACAGACGGATGAAGCCAGCGGCGTTAGGTAAAAAGGGTTTAAGATGCTGGTTATTGTATCTAGTCTCCTGAAGACTCAAGCCCTCCATCTGCATGTTTCTCTCTCAGCCCCAGATGGGGAAGACATCCTGGCAGAACTGGAGTTTGATAAGGTGCCGTACTCCTCCCTGCGACGGACTCTGGACCAGAGGAGAGCGCTGGTCATGCAGCTGTTCCAGGAGCAGGGTTTCTTTCCATCAGGTAAGACGCAAACACCATGTACACAAACATACAAGCATTTCTAGAATTGTTTCCACATGCCGCTATTCATTCCGGCGATTTTTTTTTTGTAACCCTGCTTCCAGCTCAGGCCACTGCAGCCTTCCAAACAAGATACTCCGATATATTTCCCACCAAGGTGTGTCTGCAGCTGAAGATCAGGGAGGTGCGACAGAAGATCATGCAGACAGCGACTCCCTCAGATGGTCCTGGTTTAAGCGCCGCAGACTTAGCTCTCTCCCTCCCTGGACCTTCTGGCTCCCAGACAGGGGAAGGATCTGGGAGAGGAGGTGGAGACCTGCAGGACGACGAAGTGGAACAAGGGACAGAAGCAAGCCCAGAGGATCCTCGTGATTCGCAGGACTCTTCCAGATGAGAGATACCGACAAGTTAGATTGACCAATCAGTGTCTGCTGACCTTTCCACCTCATACACGCTTTCACGCTTCTCCACTCTCTTTACTTTCCTCTGCTGATTATTTTTCTTCGTCGACAGCCATCCTTGGAGAGTGAGTGATGTTTGTATGTAATGTTGGGACTTTTTTTTTCCTATTATATTACTCTTGCACCAAAAAAAAAAAAAACTTTTAAAAACCAGTGGCACAACAACTACCATGTATACACGTACACCCTTCAGACTTTTAATTCCCACACTTGAATTAGCACTCTGTATTAACCACCTTTGAGAAAGGTCGCATTGATTCCAGTGCACAAAGGACAATTGTGTACATCTGCACTCATTTGCCTTGAAGAAGAAAAGGTTCTCTTTTTGGATGAAGAAACCTGCTTAACCCATTCTTAGACTGTTAAAGTCAGCAGTTTTAAATGAGGATGATATATGTTTTGATATTTGTCTTGTTTGTATTAGTTTTAGAGGTAAGAGCAGTGATTATCTGCTAGCGGAACAACCTGTATGCAGATGTGACTGTTGTAAGCTCGCGTCTCGTTTCTGCTGACATTCGGGGGCTGGGCCCTCAACAGCCAGAAATTACTTGATTGACAAAGAGTCATGCGGTGGACCTGGAAAGATCTTTTTCTTACCTGTAGACCTTCAGGAGAGGTCTACCAGGAGTGACTGAAAAAAAAAACTGACTGAAACTCAAGTGAACTTCTGGCAGTGCCATCATTCCTGCAATTACCTGACTGCCCAAGTCCTCCCTTCTTGCGACTAACCCTAGCACATGCCAGTAGGTAGGAACCAAGCATTCCTGTGCCTCTCATTCGCTAGCCATGAAGGAAGGAGGTGGGTCAGAGTCACCGGGCACATCCTGGCTCTTAATTGTAGAGGTCAGGCTGATAAGACCTTAATCCTCTCTTGCCAAGCAGTTTTATCAACTTTTTTAAATAATATGATTTGTATTTAACATTGTCATTTTCAGTTGGTTGTTGTACTATTCTTATAGTTATAATTATTACTCCTCATATCATTGCCGTGAACCCCGGTCCTCAGTTCTTTTGTCATTGCTGGTTTCCTTTATTTCTGCCAGTTACTGACTTCTTGTACTATTTTTTTTTTATATATAAGTTTTGAGGCAGGTGAGAGATGCTGTTCCACACCTGTACAGTTGCTCCATTGTAGTCTTCCCCTGACGGGCATCTCACCTCAGCAAGGACCTGCGTTGCGGTAATTTTTATTGTTCATTTCAAATTGTTCACACAACATGGACCTTTATATTCTTTGAGCAGTAATAAGACGAATGTTTTTAGACAACCCTGTATGCCTCTCTGTCCCCTCGCTAAGTCTGATTCTATAGGCTCAACACTTGTACATCTCCTCACGCCACCTCCTTCCTCCCCTCGTCACTTTATTGCTCTCTCCAAACCTCCTCTGAACGGGCGGAGAGAAAACTGGGGGAAGTGACAGGAGGGTACCGGATCAATGAGAGCTAGTAGGATATAATACTGGTTGTGTCTTTGTGCAAGACTTGGGTGTGTTGTAAATATTTACTGTAGAGTCAGTAGACTCGTCATAATATTGATAAGGAAAATCTGTCATTGAACATAAATTGACTTTGAAAACACCATTACTGAAGGTAAAATACATGAAATGTAAAAATAATAAATATGGATATTAATGTTTTTGTTTTACTCCTTGTTTTGCTGTGCCAGTATGCAAGAGAGGACTTTATATAAATAAATTAAATTTGTATCCGTATCTTTCAGTATGCAAATAAAAATAGGTGTTCACTTAGTGATTTTATTGCTGGCAATGTGAAAAATGTCTTCTCCTCAAGCAGAAATAGAGGTTTTATGAAGGATGTCGAAGCATCATTTTTGTCCAGCCCCTCCAAACATAAGACCTTGTTCAAATGAAGCCAACGTGTCTCTGCAGTGTCCAGAGGTGGCTCCAGGTGTGTGAATGTTCACGTATCGAATGACATCGGGTTACATGATCTTGAAAAAACATTTATTCGATTATTTCAAACAGGTTGACCTTCGAACCTTTAAACACAAGAAAATCACATCAGTGTCATCAACATGATTAAATTAAATTGTACAAATGTAATCTGAGGCACAACCAATGGTCCTTATTCCTTGTTAATACCACATCATACATTTTAATATGCATCACTTCTGTACACTTCAATACTGATCCCTCTCTTAGCTTTGTAAAAGAGAGACGCTGACATACTTTGGTCTTTTTGCTGAAATTAATTTTTATTAACTTAGCACTCTTGTCCAGAACATTATCATCTGGTTCCAGTAGATCACAACTGAATACTCATTCTCACAGTAGTCGATTAGTCTTTGTTTCAATCAGGATTAAGACTCGCATTGGTCTTATGAATTCCACAATAGATCTCAAGAATAAATTCTGTTTTTTTTTTTTGTTGGCTTTAACTCCTCCTCAGAGGAGCTGCAGTCCGTCCACAGCGACTGCGTCCATGGCGAGGCCGTTCTCCAAAGCCGTGTGGTAGATCTCCAGGGCCTGCTCCAGAGGCAGCGCTCCTCCCTCGCTGGTCTCGATGATGGCAATGGTCTCCCCGAACTCATTACACATAATGGTGGGGGTGCCCTGCGCCTGCGAGAGGGAACATTTAGAATAACATAAACAAAACACACATGATTGCGACAATGAAAGTGTTGGAAATCCAATTGACTGGAGAGCAAAATCTGACTGTCCTCTTTAATGCAAAGCGTTCGCTGAACAGCTGCCTTTTATTTACTTATATGGTTTTGTACATAATCCACATTCTACAATTTGACCGTTATGACCTTCAGAAGTCAAAAGACGATTGACATGGTTTGAGTAAAGCCTGAATAAATGTTACTTTGTGTAAATCTTGGTTGTTTTACTTTGTCAGTCCTCCCATATTTCATTTATTGGTTAATTATTTGTAAAGCATCACTGTTCAGTTGCTGCTCTGCAATGAGCCATCACACCGGACAATTTCAGAATTCTAATGCAATTTTTCCACAAATCTTATAGTTAAATGATGCTTATGTGTATAATATTTATAGATCTTGAATACAGTTGTTCACGTCAAGTAGTGTATCCTAAAACAGAAACAGTTAATGTGTTAAAAAAAAAAAACTAGGACCCAAAAGGATAAACACTGCTGCAGAAGTCAAATGTTGGTGACTACAAAATCCATAGTTACCTGCTGTAGATCAGAGGTTTGGATCTGGATTAGCTGTGGCTGCCCATTAGCTAGTTCCACTGTAGAAGCATCTATCACAGCCACAGAAGAGCTGGTCTCCAGGGTAGCCTGGGCAGCAGCCTCCTCATCCAGCCTCTGCTGCCTCGTGTGGGTCTTCTTATGGTTCCTGAGGTTGGAGAAGGTCTTGAAGGCTTTACCACAAAGCGGGCACACGTGTGGCCGTTCGCCTGTGTGCGTCCGCCGATGTTCAGCCAGGTGCATACTCTGGATGAAACCCTTTCCGCACACCTCGCAGCAAAAAGGCCGTTCGCCAGAGTGTGTGCGCAGGTGCTCTCGCAGGTGTGTGTTCTGACGGAAGCGCTTTCCGCACACTTGGCAGGGGAACGGGCGTTCGCCAGTGTGGACTCGTTGGTGAAGCGCGACTCCAGAGGAAGACACAAACAGTTTGCCACAAACGGGGCACTGGTGAGCTTTAGGCCGCTTCCCTGGGTTGCACCGAGGCCGTCCAGGGCCCAAGGCGAAGTGGCTCAGTCTGTGAAGTCGCAAGTTGGCAGGAGAATTGAGCTTCTTCCCACAGATGTTACAATCCAAGCCCCCCCTCACAAGACCGGCTGAATCCCCTGATTCTGCTCCCCCTGTTGTTGAGCTAGAGGGCTCCGAGGTCACATCCTTACCCAGCTCCACTTGGTAGTGGGTCTCTTTGCTCACCTCTGGCCCTGCATTGGCCTGCACCAGCGTCGGGTGCTGCTCTAGACAGTGGCTGTCTCGTTGCCTCCTGGTTAGGAAGCCGGCATCACAGTGAATACAGGGGAATGGGGCCGGAGCTCCTGGATGTTGGGTGTAGCGATGTGCTGCTAACTTGGTGGGCCAGCGGAAGGTGGCGGGGCAGTCGGGGCAGCTAAGCGTCGCAGCGCTAGAGTGCAGCAGGCTGTGCTGACGAAGGTTGGATGACTGGGAAAAGGAGCGATGGCAGACATCACAGCGGTATGGGCGCACACCAGAATGGATGAGATTGTGCCTCATCAGATTGGCTAAAGAGGAGAACGTTTTGCCACAGTCAGAACACTGGAAGGGCCTCTCACCGGTATGTGTGCGTATGTGGTTTCGTACGTGGATCTGCTTCTTAAAGGACTTTCCGCAGATGCCACATATAAAGCTGCGCTCTGTGACATGGGACTTGCGTCGATGGTGTACTACCTGTAGCTGGGAGGGAAAAGTTTTAGGGCACGAATGACAAGAATAAGGCCCTTTGTCTGATGACGTGCACGAAGCAGCTTCAGCGGAGTCGGCGGGATTAGACCTGACGGCCTCATTCAGAGGAGGAATGTCTGAAGCTGACACGTTGGCATCCTCTGCGTGCTGGAGGTCAGCAGAGTTTCCTTGGAGTGGCTCTGACACCTCCATGTTGCTGTGCTCCCCCTCCTTTTCAGCCTCGCCTCCTTCCACTATGCTCGGAGAACTTTGTGTTGGATCCCCCAGTGCTTCCATCTCTTCCTCTGTGAGAGGGGCCAGCAGGTTGAGTTTTTCCTCAGCCCTGTGGGGATTCTTATTCTCTCTTGCTCTCTGGAGGATGGAAAGAGCAGAGGCAGATGCTCTTCTTGGAGCTGACACCTGAAAAAGACAACAGACATGTATCAAATTGAAAAGGCATGCTAACTTGAGGTAGCGGAAGCAATGTAGGAAGGCGATGAGCTTATTGTCCTACCGCAGAGACAGAGAGGGGCACGCCAGATGTATCGCGGTTGAGGTGGGTTCGACGGTGGTAGAGGTACTTTGTCATGTTGGTGAAAGTTTTGTTGCAGAACTGACACTTATGGAGGGGGTCTGCTGTGTGGGACTTCCTGCAAGAACCCAAGAGGAAAAGATGACACATAAAAATCTAAAGTTTCTATCAGTTTCTTATTATATTGTCTGCTCTAGTGTTACCAAGCCTTTACCTGTGCATGATCAGAGTCATCTCAGTGGTAAAACCGTTACCACAGTCCACACACAGATACCGGGCAACGCCTGAGTGTGTGCGCATGTGGGTCTGCAGTGATGTGGCTTTCTTGAACACCTTACCACATTCTGGGCATTCGTGCGTGCCCTGCTCGTGCACACGTTTGTGAGCAGCCAACCGATTGACTGAGGTGAAGCTGCGGTTGCAAAGCTCACATTGTTGGGGTTTGGCCCAGACTGCTGTTTTCTTCTCAGCTACTCTAACTCTGACGTCTTCCACTTTCTCTGTAGTTTCTTCCCTCCCTCGCACCTCCTCGAAGCCGCTCATGACCCCTGGCTCCCCGCTTTCTTTGTCCTGGCCCAAGAAGTGTTCCCCCTGGTGCTGCAGGAAGTCCTCTGGGGTCTGGAAGAGAAGGGAGCATTCTGAGCATTCATAAGGGTGGATGACCACCACCTCCGTTGGCTGCTGCTGCTGGCTGTCGGCGTGGACGCTCTGGGCCAGTCTTAATTCCAGTCTCTGGACACCATTCTCCAGGACTCCCAGCTTTGCAGAAGAGCTTCGGCTCGATGCAGGCAACAGACGGGGCAGCTTGGAGCGACGCTGAGTGGGAGTGGAGTTGTCTGCCAGAGCCTGAGCTGTAAGAATTTGCAGGTGCATGGTGGCGGAGCCTGGAGTCGGAGTCACAGGAGGCAGCAGGGAGGAGCGGGACGATGCAGCAGGTTTAGAGAGAGGCTGACGTCTCTTCTGTTGTTGTTGCTGCTGCTGCTGCTGCTGCTGCTGGGCAAGTACCTGCAAACACACAAGAATGTACAGAAAAGAAATAAACAACAGATCTCACATGCATGCCTCTGTTTAGGGTGTTTAAATCAAAGTACCTGTGCCAAGATCTCTCCCGCCTGCTGCTCACTCAGCACGTAATTTGGCATATTGTTCAGTGGAGTGACGGTGCCATCCGGCTGTAACACATACTCCTGTTGCAGACACACACACAAACATGCTTTTATTAATGTTGTTTTTACATTCAATGAATACAGTGCCACAGATATTAAACACATTGATAATCACCTTTTCATTCTAGAATAAGAAACAGTTTTAGACTCTTGCCACTTCATTTTAGTAGATTATCAAACACTAAACTTATATTTTAAGTGTCTGGAATTACAGTCACGGAGAAAAATGTTTCACTTTGGTGATGTGTGAGTGCAGTCTATAGTCTATTGGACAGATCTGAATGGAATAGATGCATGGCCACAAGGCTAATAATGCTTTTGACTGTAGTCATGAAAAAGTTGAGCAGCACATGTCGATGATTCGGGAGTGAAAAATACATATTTAATATAAAAAAAGTCCCCCAAAAATCTACTCTACATTTGACCTCGTGTTAATTGAAAATATAACTACGATTTACCAGGTGATTTTATCCAACCAAACCAAGGCTCGTCTATCTTAGTGCATGGCATAGGTACAACAATTTCAGGGATCAACTTATTTTAATAGACAAAAGTTTCCTTGACAAAGCCTTCACTGCCATCTGTGGAGGAAGTTTGTCCAGGAACTAGACTTCACCATCTACTACATTAATCATTATTGTGACAACAGTAAAAGGTCCCTTACTGTGGTCTCTGTGTTACTGTGTGTGCTGCTCCTGCTGTGAGTTCCTCGGTGCTCCAGCCAAGTGTCCGGGGAATCAAACAGAGCAAGACAATCAAGACACTGGTATTGAACCGGTCCAGACACTGGAGTCTCTGATCCGGCTTCCTCTGCCTCCAGCTCTGGGGAACAGGCAGAAACACAGATGGTTAGTGCTGTCTCTTATTCTTACTCCAACTAATTGTGATGCAAATGAAAAACAAAAACGTGTTACTCATGTGTGATGTGAAAACTGGGTGAGATTGTACAAAGAATTTGATTTATTAGGAATTTAACAAATGCATTCTCAGATTTTTTTAAACAAGCTCTCAACTCACTTCTTTGGAAGACTAATATGTTGCACCATGAAATGATTACTGTACATTACTAATATCTTAACACTCTTCAACTTTTCATGCATGCATGAGAAATCAAAACAGATGTGTCACCTTGTTGCTCTACCTCCATCCCAGCCTCTCTCATGTGCATCTCCTGATGCTGCAGCAGCTCCTCTGGGTTTAGGAGGAGGCTCCCACACTCCAGACACTGATACTGCTGGCTCTGTCCCATCTCGGGGTGGATGGTCATGGCCTCCCCTACCTCACCTTCCCCCTCCCCGTCTTGACCGATGTGGATCTGCTGGTGGATCAGCACATCCTCAAGCGTGCTGAAGAGCTGGTGGCACTCGCTGCACATGTACTGGTGCTCCACGTACACGCCTTCTGCCTCCTCCTGCTGCTGTTCCTCCATCGTGGCAATGTGTCTGTACTGTGTGCCGTCTTATGCAGGTTGTGAGTGTATCATGAAAAGTGTTGAACTGAAATGTCACAGCTGTGTCCAATAAATGACAACTTTTTTAAATCCAGAAAGCCAGCAGAAGAGCACACCTGTGGGAAACAAGAATGTGACATTTAACAGCCAGTAAAGCACATGACTCAGAAGATGTGCAGCATCAGATGGTTGGAAACATGGGGAAAGAGTTCCTCTCGCCCAACGCACACAGCAACGTTACATGAGTAACTGATTGCTACAATAAAAACACCCAGTGATGCTCATATGGACATTATGGAGGGGAAAAAACCCCGCCAACAAACATCGCAGTTTTCAGGCGTTAGCCAGATGACGGGCCTGTGTCTCTGACAACACGAGCCCTGCTGAACGGACGCTAACAAATCCATGTCTGGTTCCTTACAAATGTGACTCATATCTTTGTTTACAGTGTGTGATGGCATATGGAGAGCTGTTGGCGGCGCTCCCTCCGATACTGCAGACCTGTTTCTCGGCACCGCGATTTCCTGACAGCGGCTCCCCGGTTCGTCGGGCGGTCCGTCAGGCGGCGCTACCCACTTTTCCCCGAAGCTCTCAGGCTACGATGGCGGGCCCTTCTTTCCCCCTTACCTCTCATTTACTCTCGTTGGACAATCCCTCGTGTCGTCGTCACTCTCCGTTCACACAGTCGTACGAATTTTTGTTAGTCCCTCGCCAACATCCGTGACATGGAAATCAAAAAGTGAAAAGTGTCCATGGGAAATAACATTACAAAGCGTGTAATGAAACGTTTGCCCGCCGATCGCCTCCATTTTTTTGTGATACGAAGCCCCGCCCATTGCGGTAGCCTGAACATTTCGCATTCTCTGATTGCACAAGCTGGCTGTCAATCATATACTGTCCTTCACTTATGGGAATTGTAGTTTTAGTTGTGATTATATCGCCTGTTGAATATCTTTGCCCCTGTCTGCTTAATTGTCATCAGTCTATGTCTTTATTCAGTTTTTTTTAGTGCTGTAATTTGTGTGCTTTATTGTATGTCGGTCTTTTAAAAAACTATTTAGGCATACAAACATTAACTTAGTTCATTTCAAAACGCATGATTGACCCTGATAATATTGGGTTAAATATGTGTACATAATCCCAACGTTAAATAAACACAATGCGCTGGAGTTAAACAATGCAAGAGTGATTTATTTCCCGTTAGCATTGTAGTGTGGATTCAAAGCCCTCAACGACTCAGTTTCCCATGAACCCTTGCGAGCGTTACGACGTTGTGCGTCAACTCCCCAGTCCCCCCACCATCACCGTTCTACAGAGGAAGAAAGGGGGAGACGGGCAACCTATACTGAACGCTGTAAGTGTAGTTTTTATTTATATCGAATATTGAAATCCACTTACATAGTTTAAGTCTCTGCCGGTGTGGCTGGTAATAACGTTCAACCTTGCCCCGGCTTTAGTTTACATAAATATGAGCGGCAGCGGGCGGCCCAGGACCAGCTCATTCGCTGAGCCTCCCGGAGCTCCCGGATCTGCTGCAGCCGGTGCCGGATCGTCAGTAGCCGGCGGAAGCTCGACAGGAAAAGCTGGGGCTTCACAAGCCAGTGGAAGCAGCTCGACGAGCTTTGGGAATTTGAAACTTCCTAGTAAGTATTATGCTATCTATCAGTCATAAGACCAATATGCGGCCTTTAGCAAAGCCTCGGGTTGTGCGTTATTTTAAAAACATTGTGTCGGACTGTATTTAATGTCGATTATTGTCGGTGGAGCTCACCTTAGCCAGCAAGATGTTAGCTGAGTGGCTAACTTATGTTAGCCGTCCAGCTAACGTTAGCTGTGTTTTTCATTAAGGTAGCAGTGCGATCAGGGCTTTTATCGATGGCTAACATTATCGTTAGCTGTGGCAGCAAGCTTAGAACTAAGCCGCTGATATTTCGACGTTAAGTATGGTTATGTTTTATTTTCCGGCTACATTATTTAACCACTATTATTGCACTGTAACACAAGAACAGACTTGGTGTTAGCCGACACTTTAACATATTCGACTTTAATATCAGAGGTGGAAGCTACCTAGCTTGCTAACACATCCAAAGGTTAGGCTGAAACCATGTAGTTGAATTTTATTTGATTTTATTTTCAATTTAAACTTGCACACATATTTTTAAAACGCTACGACATCGGGTAAAACATTACGTTGTGTGGTAACCTGAAAACATGGAAATGCTTGTCGGCCACAACGTCCCATAATACAGAGTTCCAGTAAGCCTTCATGTTTGCTTATTAACCAGCGAATGTTGACCTTACCTCAACATTATCTAACTGCTCGCCTGGATGCCCACACTTAAGCACACATGAAAACATTTATGCATGGGTTTAGACATCTGGTCAAGCTCAAATCTGTTCCAGGTTATCTTTGAAATCGGGAAAGTGAGAATCCTCTATTCTCCTGTCATGGAAACAGTTTAGCCAAACTGTATTTGTCACTGCACTTAGCCAGCTTTGTCAGCACTCTCAAGTGCAAGACATGTTCAGAATTACATTAGGTTTTTGTCCAACTTAGAAGAAGCTATAAACCGTTAAGTAGGCTGTCTACTTTCATGCAAACAGTCGGATCATACTCTTTCTGTTCACCATTTTGACTGCTGTACTGAACACCCTTGCTTGCCAACAAGATATTTTTTGCAGTTAGCTACAATGGTGTGATGACAAGAACTTGCAGAATGCTCACAGGTCATGTAGCTATGCAGTGGTAGCAGTTGACTGAAGATCTGGAGGCTTGGACAGCCTGGACGACAAAGGAAAATTAAGTCACAGGTCATGTTTCAAATCTTGAGGTTGATCAATAACTGATTGTTTCAACTGATGAAATGGCTAGCAAAGAATATAAATTAAATCTGAAATGTTGACGCAAATTGGTGTGTAGCAAATCTTTGCTGAACTTACTACGTGCAACCAATCAGTTTGTATGTATTTACTTTAAAGTGCATTATAATTTTACCATTGCACAATTTTCAGAATATCTCAGTTTTGATCATCAGGATCTGTATTTTCTGTGAAAGAATTTTCTTGTGTCAGAGGTGCAGAGACAAAAGTACTGTTTTAGGCCATGTCAACACTCCATCTCTACTTTTAGGCATTTCAGCCAAAACAAGTGTGACTGGACACACATATAAACTCCAGGCTTTAATTTGAATGTGCACATTGTGATTTCCTAAAGAATGATCCGTGCTTGCTGAGACACTGGAAGCTGTGTAGCACTGGTGACAAGAAGGCTGCTTATGCTACTTCAGCTCCCTCTGACTTTGCCACTAACCTGTGGTCAGACAACCTTTGAGCATGTTAGGGCCGGGTTATGGTTCCTCAGAACTAATACCTAAGATGTGCTGTGTGATCACATCAGACATTATATATGTGCCATCGTTTTTGCTGCATTGGATCATAATGGAATAATTGAGTAACAAATTAATAAAATAAAGCTGGACAGAGAAGTGCAGTGCCTAGCTCCTCTCTCACCTCCACACAACTAGCATGAAGTGGCTGTGAATGTCAGATCAACGGTGACACAGACAGCCCCTATGTGACATTGAAAAGTTGTAGACGGAGGGGGTTTCTGACACGGTATGCAGCTCTGACAGACCATTAACCCAATTTATAGAAACTGATCATCATGGTTTTAATGCAGCAGTGAATAAATGATCTTGATTAACAAGCCAAAGTTGAATCACTACTATAATACCTGTTTCAATCTAACAGAAATGGAAAAATGGCATTTTTGGCAACGCTAAAAGTCACTCTGACAGCAGAGGGTAGCATTTTTGTTTCCAATTTGTTGGGATCTAACAAAAAGTTGCAATTTTTAAAATGCCTGAAATGTATTCCAAATATGAATGTCTAAATTAAATAAGACACGATAAGAAGAGTAGTAATCTGAACAAGCATTTAGTACCAGCTTTACTACTTTCTTGGACATTTTAAATACTAGGGACACATTTATTTGAACAAAAAATATTGAATTCCCGAGCCATATGAAACAGTATTTGTCCTGTCTAGCTATCTGATCAGCAAACGAATGAGCTGTTAATGAAGTCTACTGAGGTGCATATAATGTGACTCTGATTGCCACTGGTTCGATTGAGGCCTCTGTAGTGTGTAGTTGTATGGATTAAAATTAATCAGTAGCTTTGGAGTGATTTATCTAAGCCCCGTGGTGTATATTTATCATCAAACACTATGAGGAATAGTACTAATAGACCGCTGATGATAAAATATTAGTTGTAATTGGTCACGCAACTACTGATCATTTTTCAGCAAATTAAAAGTGTGCTTGAGATTTACACTCGCAAACAATCTCCAAGGTAATTGCTTACTAAATGTGGGTGTGACGAAAGTCCCTCTCCTGTACTTATTAGCCTTGGATATTAGCAAGCAAAGCTATTCACTGACAGCTGAGTGCTCGTCTCTGCATTATTCAAGACACTATCATGCCACAGCTGCTCCATATTTAATGTTTTCCCCTCTGACTTAACTTGTTTAAAAAGAGTGTGAAAGTGATGCTAAGATGAAATACAAAGGCACAGCTGTAATATAGCAATGTGCAGGAACCACACCGCCACTGACGGCAAAAGCGGAATATTTCCTGCTGACCTGAGGGGAGAGATGAAATCCAGGGCAATCATGTGAATTTGCCACCCGCTGCTGTTTATTGTTAACCTTAGAAAAAGTTTGGGCTGGAGAGGTTCAAAAATAGAGAAGTATACTTTTGTAGTTTGTTATAGTCAGCTGGTGACAGTGATCTAATTTTCTATTGACTAAACCATCAAACGATTTTTTGTTAAAGCTTATGTATTCATCCATCCGTCCTCTATGCTTCCTTATCCTGAGGACGGCACCCTGGACAGGACACAGGTCCAACTCAGAGAGACAGACAACCACGCAACCATGCTCACACTCAGATACGGCCAATTTAGAATCACCAAGTAACCTACAATGCATGACTTTGGCCTGTGGCAGGACGCTGGAGCACCTGAGGAAAACTCATGTAGGCACAGGGTGCAGCGACGTTAGGACTTTCTAGCTGTGCTGCACCACCATGGCATCCGTATGTATTCACACAGGCAGAAATGACAGTCGATAAAGCCAGGCCATGCCATTATTGTTTGGTTATGGGGTTTATTTTTTTTAAAGATACTCAAATTTATTGTTGTGTGACTCCATTTTGAATGTTGGAGACGTACTAGAAATCAAAAAGGGTCCTGTTGAGACAGGCGAAGTGAGCAAGCCCAGAAAATGGTAGCACCTCTGGGTGTGCTACTGTCCATGCAATTTTATTACAGGCTCTGACAAGTCTTTTGGCAATGCGCCTCTTCATCTGCTGTTCTTACCCTCCTCTTGTTGTTGCTTCTGGTGCCCGTTTGTCACATCATTCTTGACCCAACACGTGCGCAGACGTGGAACACCGAGCAGCTACTTGACCCTAACTTAAGATGTCACATATCATTAGATCTTGAGTGTCTCCCGTTGCTTCATTTCTGCAAAGTCAAAAGTCAGCCCGGCTATGACACTGACAAGATGGAAACACACACCTTGTACGTGTGCGTGAAACAGTCTTTAAATGCCAGAGATCACACTTGTCCTTCATGTGACGTGATGAGGGTGTAGTAGCCATTTTCCTGTGTTCCAATTCATCATGTCACTTCGTCAGCAAAACTAATTAATTTTGATTTGTCACATTTAAATACACCCACATTTAAGTGAGTGTTCTCAGTGTAGTCAGAAGTCACAAATGCAGATAAAACGTGGAATGAGAAGTTATTTGAACTTGCAGATCAAAACATATGAATCCTAAGAAGCCAATACCAAGCATCCACACCACATTCTGAAAGTTGACATTTACACCCACTTGACACTATGATTGGCCAGGTTTACCGATACGAGATAGGAGCCAGGATGGATATGTTCACAATGTCTGATGATATAACTCACCATGACCTGGTTTCATTTCAAAGTTTTGGAGAATTCTCTGGATCTTACTTGCATCATGTTGTCACTAAACATGCCTACCCATGTTCACAAAAACTTTTCTACTGCTGCACTTCTAGCAGCGTACAACATGCAGTAAATGCAAGTATGCGCTTAAGGAGCTCTTAAACAACTCATTCATGGATGATATATGTACGTTATTGTAATGGGAATATTGACGTAATGGAGAGGACACGGTCGCCCAGCTGAAACTGTAATTGAGACTGTTGAACTATATTCAGGTTGTGTTAAAGCTACAGCGGGGATGGCTCAGCGCATGTCTCACAACTTGGATTTGAGACGCATTGCAAGCTGGGCTGCACTTTTCTTGCTGCAGGGAGTTTAAACAAGATTAAACTGACTTACCAAAACTATCCCGCTATAGGGGATGTTATTGGGTCGTGGCTGCAAGGAAAACTAAGAGTATTTTGTAATGTATTTGGTAAATAGTAATTTGAGATTTTAACTGTAGTATGTTTGGAAAACTGTTGTGGTGTCAGGTTTCGGTTAATTGTGATGACATGGGATGGCTCTTTGACATCAGTCTCAAATGAATGGGTCAGTTGACCTGAAACTTGTGCATGAATCCACAGAGGTTTAGGGTAGTTTTACTCAGGGGAGCAGGGGGGAGGTGTTAATGTTCATGTTGAGCTTCTGTCTGTGAGAGGGACTGGTTTAAAGGCTGAACCAGGGAGGGTTGTATTCACATCATTTTATCAATGAGAAATGTGTGTGTTTTTATGCCATTATTATTTAAATACAGCATCTTTTGTATTGGCTTCATTTAAATATATGTCAGTTTGATGTGAGACCAGAATTCTCCACATATTCAAATGTATGCTTTCACGATCTCTCTGACTGGTTGTATTTATGCTGTCATTCACAGGAGACAGTGGCAAAGTGACGACAGTGGTAGCCACACCTGGCCAGGGCCCCGATCGCCCTCAGGAAGTGTCCTACACAGACATTAAGGTTATAGGAAATGGGTCCTTTGGAGTCGTCTACCAGGCACGCCTCATCGACAGCCAGGAGATGGTGGCAATTAAGAAAGTTCTCCAAGACAAAAGGTTTAAGGTATGCTTAGACAGGCTGACTTGGTGAGATAATGACAGTAAAGTAAAATGCTGCAGTTTGACAACCTGTGGATTGCTCTCACTTTTCCCCATTTCCTTTACTTCATTTCAGAATAGGGAGCTGCAAATTATGAGGAAATTGGACCATTGCAACATTGTGAGGCTACGTTACTTCTTCTACTCCAGCGGAGAGAAGGTGTGTATGCTCTCACCTTTTTGTTGTGAGCGGTTTCACGATGAAACACTCTGCTTCCACGCCCAGGCAATTAATGGTGCATGCATGAATGATGATTCATAGACACGTTTTAGACAAGTTAATCTTGGTCTTTATTATATAACACGCATTACTTAGAGTTGTAGGGATCTAAGCTTTTTTTTTTTTAACCGAATTGCTCATTGATTATTGTAGGTTTACGATCTCTTGTGACTTGAGCAACAGAAGATGATGACTTTAGGACACACTGACAGGCTCCTCAACCTTTTGGTGCACAACTTATCTTGCGTACACTCCAGAAATAAAATCTGTGTGCCTCTAAATTCCTTAGCTCAAGCTGCATCTTTATATGTTAGCTGTGTTCAATGACCTGTATTTTATGTGAAATCCAGCACGGCAGGCGAACTGCATTCATCTCACAAGCATAGAATCCTGTGGAGTTCAATCTATTGTAACTCTGCTTCTGTACATAGAAATCATCTCAAATAAGAAACAACATACAGCTAATTATTGAAGTACTTTGTTGGTGTCTATGAATCTGCATTACTTTCCTGTAACGGTGCTTGGAGTTTAGTGTGCATTAGCAATATTAGCAGTCGGTGGTGTTCAAACCTATATATGTGTGTTTTATTACCTGTAAAGTGTAAATGCTGCTCAGCTGTAGCTGTTTCATGCTTCCAGCAAATAATTACTTAAGATGGCTCAAAGCACAAAATAAATGTTTAATTTCTTTTCTAATATCTGTCTAAAAGCCAAGTTAAATCGTATAGCTAATCAATACATACAACTGCTTCTTTTTTTTTTTTAACTCCCCATGTATAGTTCAACATGTTTCTTTACATTGGTACAGATTTATTGTTTTGTGAAGAAATAACTTGATTTGGAGTGGTTTAGATTCTTTTTCTACCTGTGCTTATACAATTCTCTTTCCTGTGTTTCCTCTCTACCAGAAAGATGAGGTGTATTTGAATCTTGTGCTGGACTACGTCCCGGAGACAGTGTACAGGGTGGCTCGGCACTTCAATAAGGCCAAGACCACCATCCCCATCATTTATGTTAAGGTAGGTAGAAACAAAACACACGACTGGGTGGGCTTATCCGGCCATTTCCCCCTCACTGCATTCACCAAGCCTCTGCATCAAAACATTCATTCATGTGCCTTACTAAGGTATGACCAACAGCATTTCTGGATTATACAGTCGTGATCCGAAGTTTACCTACACGTGTAAAGACCGGAAATATCATAGCGGCCTTAAGTTTCCAGTACCTCCTACAACTTTTAGTTTCCTATGATGGAATGATTGAAACACATGTGTCTTTGTCAAAAAACAATCATGCATTTTGGTTCTTTCATAGATTTATTACAGGTCTTCTGGAAATTTGATTACAATCTACTTAAAGCAATTCTAATGTTTGGTTAAATGTCTTGTGGCCATTCTCAACTCAGTTAGGGGCTTTTGGTAGCATCATAAGCTTCTGGTTGTATCTTTGAGCACTCGTCTGGACAGAATGTACTCCAACACAAACTACATTTATTGCCTTTTTGACACAGACCTGTTTCTTCAGAGCAAATCTACAGATTCTTGATGAGTTTTAAGTCAGGACTCCAGGAAGGCCAGTCTAACACCTTAATTCTAGCCTGCTTCAGCTATGTCTGTGTTTAGGGTCTTTGGGTCTTGGTGCACTTGGGTATTCTAACAAGACAACCTTCGGGTCTGACCAGTCAACATTTCTGTATCACTTTTAACACGGCACAAGTCTGAACTGAACCGTCACATAGACATGCACAAGCAGCCGGACTTCAAGTTGTGTCAAGTGATTTAGGGAAGGATTTATTTTCGACTTTTTAGCATCAGGATTCATCTGAAAACTTTACAGAGACTCTTCTTACAGTTAGCGTGCCAAAACCGCAGCACACCTTTTACACACACTTTGCCGTACAATGTCAAATCTATTAGACAGCGAAATGAATTGTTGATAATAATATAACCAACCATAACAACTAAAACAATAATGATACTCACCAATAATGAATTTAGTCCAAGTTGTTTTTCTACCCTACAAGATTTTGGGTGAAGCTGAAGTTTGTTTCTTCCAGCTGTTTGGAACTGTCCCCTTTGTTTAGTTTGTTTAGTACCTGCAGCATCAGACAGCAGTAGGATCCATATGTGCATCTCCAAAGAGAGAGAGTTGCACACATTTGCACACTGAACAACAGCGCCGATAACTTAATTAAATTCCCATAATTATAAATGATCCCAGAAAGAGCATGGAGAGCGGATCAGTGTGGACTCGGCAGGTCACACCATGTTGGCCTGCATGTCTTCACATCAGACAGGTGAATTGTTACAACGTGGCAGTTTAGTTTCTTTGTAGTTTATTACATGAGCATTAGAGCATTAGACAGTGGTGGGATCCACGAGTGTCTCCAAAAAGAGAGAGAGCTGCATGCAATTATGCAAGGAGCACCAGTAGTAACTTCATTAATTAGGTAATGATTAAATTATCCAGACACAGAGAAAGAGCTGCAGCAGGTCACACTATGTGCTTTTCTTCACTTCAGACAGGTGAGTCTACACACACAGAGTCCCAGATTTTTAGCTACAGATAATGATTTTAGATAGATTGACACTTTATTTAGGCTGCAAGCTGTCTCAGGGGTTAGTACCGTCGCTTTGCAGCTAGAAGGTCGCCGGTTCACGACACCTGAGATCTTTCTGTGTGGAGTTTGCATGTTCTCCCCGTGCAGTGTGGGTTCTCTCCGGGTTCTCCAGCTTCCTCCCACACAGTCCAGAAACATGTTGAGGTTAACTGGTGATTCTAAATTGTCTGTAGGTGTGAATGTGAGTGTGCTTGGTTGTCTGTCTCTAAGTATAGCCCTGTGATAGACTGGCGACCTGTCCAGGGTGTCCCCTGTCTTTGCCCTGAGTCTGCTATGATGGACTTCAGCCCCCCGCAACCCAAGTGAGGATTAAGCGGTGTATAGATAATGGATCGATAGATGCATTATTCATCCCCTTGGTGAATTCAATATGTAAATATTTCATTACATCGCAATTGTCCTCAGATTGAATCCTGGGTTTTTAGTTTAACAGTTTAAGAAATCACAGATAATCAAGCATGTCACTTATTTGGACACTTTAATCAGCTGCTATTAGTTTGGTTTTAGTCTGTTATTGCATTATTATTTGTTATACATCACTTAGTGTATTGACTAGTCTCACATGAATGACAAATATCCTATGTGTACCACGGTACTCTCCGGTGCTGTGATGTAATCAGTGTAATCTGAATGCAGCCATGAGGAATGTTAACAGAAAAGTGACCTGTGTCTGAGTGACTACAATGCAGGCACTTTGCTGCAAACAGCCCCAGAGCAGAATGCTACCACCACCCTGCTCGACAGTAGGTTTGGTGTTCTTGGGGTTTAAAGGCCTCACCTTCTCTAATCCAAACATTTTGCTCACTCATTTTTGTTTCATCTGACCACAAAACCATCTTTCAGAAGGCCTTTTCTTTGTCCATGTGATCAGCAGCAAACTTCAGCCAAGCTTTAAGGTTTTAAAAAAAAAAAGGTTTTCTTCTTGGACGGCAACCTCTCGACCTATGATGACGTAAAACACGCTTGACTGTGGACACTGACATCTGTGTTCCAGCAGCTTCTAATTCATTGCAGACCTGCTTTTTGGTGATCCTTGGTTAACTCTTGACCATTCTGACCAGTTGCCAGCAGCAGGTGATAGTTTGCATTTTCCTCCTGATCATTGCGGTGACACGACTGTACCATGCACTTTATACTTAAAAATCTTGGGATCTGAAGCATCTTTAAATGGCTCCAAGTAACTTTGCTGACTCATTCAAGCCAATTATTTGCTTCTTCAAATGTGTACTCGGCTCCTTAGACTTCTTCATTGCAGTGTTTCTGGTTGAGACTAATGATTGAATCAAATGGGCTCCATTTGAATGGACTCAGGGAAGTCAGCAGCTGTAATCACTCACAAGAAGATAAGATGTCGTGCCACTAAGAGCATTTGATTGTACAACATTCTACATCACTAAAAATTGATGATTCAAGTTGCTGTATGTGCATTTTTCACCCAGAAGAGTTTTTTGATTATTTCCAGAAGTCCTATAATAAATCTATGAAAGCACCAAAATGCACGATGGTGTTTGTATCAGTCCATAATAAAAAAAAAAAAAGAGTTGTAGGAGTCATTGAAAATCAAGGCTGTCGTGATGTACATGTTCTTTACAAGTGTATATAAACTTCTGTTCACAATATATAAAGTGCAGTTATAATCTTACGTAAGCAGAAGATCTGTCTGACTACAAACAAACTTGTTGTGTTGATTCTCCAATGCTTCCTAAGGTTTTTTTTTGGTTTTTTTAAACCCCCATAAGTTTATCCTTTTTGGTGGTGATGTGGGTTTAATGCACCAGACGTATTTTTAGCTGTAGCCTCTAATGCTGGTTTTTGGGGGAGCCCTGACTTCAGGAACGCAAAACAACCTTAAATTTATCACAGTCTGCAATCATCTCTCTCTCTCTCTCTGTCTGTATAATACTGGAAGAGATTACATTTAAATATTTCATCTCCAGCTTTTAAATTGAATGAGGATGGCTGCACATCTTTAGGGAGAATATTTCTTATGTTATTTTGGGGTTGAAATACACGACTGCAGGCTGCTCAGACACCACACAGCTGCTTTCATCACATCAAACCTATATGGTACACCCAAAAGAAGAATTGCTGCACATGTGACTGGAACATGACAAAAATGTGTGTAGTCACCTTTGTAAGAAACGATATTGCTGTTTGATAATACTGATTAAAAGAGCCAACTTGCTTTTTTTTTTTTTTTACTCGAAGCACAGTGCAGCGATGTTCATTGGACCCTAAGTTCAGTGTTTCCTAACTTGCAGGCTTGGGACCATTTAAATACTTCAAGGTTTACCTGCAACCCCTCATCACAGCTTTAGCTGACTATAAATATGCACGCAGTTGCACTAAAGAGCAATTATTTATTTGTGAAAAATTAGAGCAGCAAAGAGGGCAAACAATGGAGTTGCAGTGCATTCTGCTGGACAAACTATGCTATGACACCATTTTAACTTACTCCAATCCTTTTTTTATCTGCATTGTGTTTTTCTAAAATAAGCTTTTGTATTGGACGATATAAATGCAGATACCAATGAACTTTGAAAAAATCATCTTTAAGAAAAAATGTAATAATCAATCCACCAATCCAGTCCAGGCCCCTTTTTTATTTAATGGTAATAGTTGTGATTGTTCTGGGCCATATTGTCCCAAGTGGTTTTCTGTCACACTTTAGCAGGTGTGATCATGAAACAAGCATTAAATTGGATTCTACATGATATTAAAAATGTCCTAAAGCATTTTAGATTTAAGTTGATGGACCCTGCAGAAAGCCTAATGGAGCGTTGAAGCTCCCATGACCTGTGTTCTTTCCTTTTTTTCTTGGGGTTTGTGTGTGATTCTCTTAAACACTGTTGGGCATAACGCCAACCCTCCCTTTTACCCCTCAGGTGTACATGTACCAGCTGTTCCGCAGTCTGGCTTATATCCATTCCCAGGGTGTGTGTCACAGAGACATCAAGCCTCAGAACCTCCTGGTGGACCCAGAGACGGCCATCCTCAAACTCTGTGACTTTGGCAGGTCAGTAGCAGATGCTGCCTTTGGACACGTCTGTTTTTCTTTCTATTGTGGCGACTGTTTGTGTCTCACTGCTGCCGGTTTGTGTAACTGTCTTTGTCAGTTTCGGCTTTCCCTGTGTAGATGTCTTGATCACTTACATGCTCTAGTTTGTGAAACAAACACACATGCTGTTCATGCTGACTGGCACTTTTATCTTCTACTGTGTGTTGATCATCATCTCCCTCTTCTAAAACCTTCTAGTGCAAAGCAGCTGGTTCGAGGGGAGCCAAATGTGTCCTATATTTGCTCACGGTACTATCGTGCCCCAGAGCTCATATTTGGCGCCACCGACTACACATCCAACATTGACATCTGGTCAGCCGGCTGTGTGTTGGCTGAGCTGTTGCTGGGGCAGCCCATCTTCCCCGGGGACAGTGGTGTAGACCAGCTAGTAGAGATCATCAAGGTAAAGTAAACACGTTGTAAACAGTGAAGAAAAAACAAACCACTATAACAGAGTTTCAGCAAGTGAGGTGGTTTGGTTGTTGTAAGTGTCAGAGTGGATCTCAGCGCTGCATATGTACAGACAAAAATGTAAAAAAGAATCAGCTCAAGCCATGAGCACTTGAAAACTGGTGGTATTATATGTAGAACAATATCTCCAAAAGGGCAATGTGCTCTCTATAGAACTGATAAACTGACATTTACAAGTCTTAACTTTTCACTCCTGCTTTGTCAGGTTTTGGGGACACCAACAAGGGAGCAGATCCGGGAGATGAACCCTAACTACACAGAGTTCAAATTCCCACAGATCAAAGCACACCCTTGGACAAAGGTATGTTCCCATTACTGCACAACGTCGGTGCTGAGCAGCAGTTCACCATACAGTCAGTGTCGAAAATGTTAGAAGTGAACATTTTATTTACTTTAAATTTTGACTAGATGTAAGTAGGCTTTTGTTTTGTTTTTGAAATGCTTTGCACACTTTCTTTGCAGGAGTCTTCAGTCACTTGCACCCAGACTCCTGCATATCATTTATCAGTTTCAACATTTTTCTCTTTCTTCCTCTTGCCAGGTGTTTAAGCCTCGTACCCCACCAGAGGCCATTGCCCTCTGCTCTCGACTGCTGGAATACACACCAGTGACCAGGCTGTCTCCCTTGGAGGCATGTGCGCACGCCTTCTTTGATGAGCTGCGCCAGCCCAACACCCGCCTGCCCAGTGGACGAGAACTGCCGCTTCTCTTCAACTTCAGTCCCGTTGGTCAGTCTACTTCATATTTTCTTTTCCTCTATTATTATCGATTTCTTACATTTTCACGTAGGGCTGAACAGATGTCATCATTGCAATATGAGTCACAATTTAAAAAAACAAAACAGTATGCTCCCCAATGTCTGGAGATTGATTTGTAGGTCTGTGCGTTTTTGTAGTACCACAATCAATGCTTCATTTGTAATGTTGTGACACATTTTACCAGTTTGGTTATTGCTTTCAGCCATATTGGTATTTTGCTGAATTTTTCAGCCCTATTTTCACATATCGTCACAAAGATGCTAAGTTAGTTTCCTTCAAATGTCAACAGTTCATCCTGTTATCATGCCAGCACTATATGATTTTAAACATTTGTTTGTTTCCTCCACTCTCAGAGCTGTCTATCCAGCCCCAGTTGAACTCCACACTCATTCCTCCTCACGCTCGTGCACAGACATCGCCTGCCTCACATGGTATGTATAGTAGCAAAACAGCACTCTTTCTGTCCTGTAGTTCTTGTTATCAGTGTATTAGCTGCTGAGTGATAGTAAATTAAAGTAAAATTATATAAATTCTATTTTGACAATGATTAGGTGTTGGGTAACACGTAGTCTTCTTTTCTTTATTTTTCCTTCCCCTGCAGAGGGCAGTGTGTCAGACAGTACCGCCCAGCCCAGCTCAGCACCTGGATCCCTCAACAACAGCACCTGAGCATTAATCCCTCTGTCATATTTTCTGTTTCTTCCCCCATTTTCCTTTTCTTTCCTCTGCTCCTCTCCCTCTCAACCTTCCTCCTGGCTCCAAACCCCTACAATAGAGAAAAAAAACCAACAACTAGACATACCCACATAAACACTCAGCATTGCTATGTTCCCTGAATGCTAACAATTTCCAGTAGAAAACGATGCCTACAGCTCCTTGCTTCAGAAAGCTGTGGGTTGTTTTAAAAACAACATTTTTGGTAACTGAGCTTCAGCTTAAAATAAGCTGCAGCTTTACGTCCGGGGTGGCCCTTGTCTGGCTTCTAAGAATAATAAACCTTTACATTGGTTAGGTAGGATGTTTAGGAGATGTGGAGGAGGGTTGTACATGTCGTGTAGATTTTCTGTATTATAATCAATCCTTTTTAAAGTTTGTTTTATTTACATTAGCTAATTTTTATGTGTGGCCGTGGTGCCATAGGTTTGGATCCTGATTGGCTATAAAAACTGAGAATGAGGGCAGCGTTTAAGGCCTCACTAATATTGACAATCATCCTCAGTCGGGTCAAAAAATGGCAGACTTGTACTGTACATAGCGTTTGATTGTACAGCCCACTGTGTAGACTAGTGGCTCTACTGTCTCTTTCTCCCCTGAACTCGACTCAAGTTATCAGTTTACCAAGCCCAGTGGCGAACACGCGAAGAATATTTTTTAGTGTTCCACTTTGCTGCAAGACAGAACATACTGGCATTTTAGATAGGAAGTGGTTTTAAATTTTATTGCAAAGGAGAGCACCACAGCCGGTCTTTACGGTTTGTTTTCTTGAGTATTAGCTCCTTAACTGCCTTTTATTTGAATGAGAGGGAGCTTTATACGAGCAGAGTGCATATCTTCAGTTTCTTCATTATAAGCTCATGTCTTCATTGGTTAAGCTGGAAACCAAGCGTTTCGTGTTGATCCTCAAGTGAGTGTTGCACATCTCCAAAGGGTGTAGAGGGAAACAAGAGGGGGCAAGTTATGTGTACTGTCCAGCTGTTAACATAACGTCACACAGAGAGAAGCCGTCACTGTGGGCCTCCAGTGTTGCGTCTGACACGGAAGCCTCAATGTCTCAAATGTAATTAACACAGTCGCCTGGCATTGTAGGGTGAATAATCACCTCATTAATTTTGTCACTTTACGGTGTTGGGTTTCATATCAACGAGATTGTGTTGAAGACCGAATACAGGTGCGGGGGGAGGGGGGGTATAGACAAACTACTGGATGCTCTCACCTGCGCTCACTTGACTCATCGCTGTCATCTCAGCCAGTATACACAGTTAGTGTTTGTGCAGGACTGTGAATTCATTTTATTTGGTTTGTGAGAGTGATTTGTTGAAGTCCTCTTTGCCCCTTTCAAAACAGCCTGCCTTTGATACTCATATCATGTTGTTCTCGTCCTGTATTGGTGGTCAGAGCTGATCTGGAACGATTAGCGCAGCTATCGGTCCTTCGCCGACATGGACTACTTTTCTTTCTTCCAACACGCACATGTGCATGTTCAGTCCAAGTTTACCACACTATGTTACTTCCACTGATATCAGTAATAATCTGACCAGGAATTATGCTCAAACCCCTGAAACCCAACAGCTTTTGGAGCCTCCCCTCCCTTTCCTTCTTGTTTTCATCCCTCTGCCTTTTGCTTCCTCCTATCCTCCTTTTTTCACTGCTAAACTGTAAATATCAAGTACCTTTTATTTTATTTTGTTATTTTTGTTATTATTGTTATTATATTGTTGTTCTTGTAATTTTTTTTTTTTCTCTAGTAGACCGGTGCAGCAGCAGCCGGACTGTTTATCCTCAGTCGCAGTCTGTAAATATGATTTCATTTCAGTCCCTGGTTCAGGAGGGGAAAACAGAACAAAATGTTTCATTTTTATTCTCTCTCCCTTCATTTCTCTCTTCACAACTTTCCCCTTTCACCATAATTGCTGTCATAACTGTTTTATTTATTGTATTGTGTTTTCGGGGGGAGGGGTGGGGGG